ATATACTTCCTATTACTAAGGTAGATAGCCTTTATTAAGAACTATTTTAAGATAAAGAGGATAAACTATAGCTCTATCTAAAGATAACTATACTACTATACCTAAGTAAAAGAGAGTTAAGTAATATTATAATAAAAGTACTAGAAAGCCTTATAATAAAAGTATTAAAGCTTAATATAACTTAAGGTATAAAGTTAATAACTTTTAAAGGCTTTTAAAAAGAAATATTAAAAGTTATAATAGATAATAATACCTTATTAGTTAAATATAAAGTAATATATAAATTAACCTAAGAACTACTAAATCTTAAGTTAATTCTACTTTTAAAGAAGGAAATTAATTATACTAATAAAGTAGTTATTTTAAAAGATAATAAATTCTAACTTACTTTAAAAAAGCTATTATCTATTAATATAAGTAGCCTTAACTTAAAAGAAAGTATTAAAGATATTTTATAAAAATATACTAAAAGTATACTTATACTTAAACCTAATCTAATTATTTCTATTAAAAAGCTAGTTATTAAGAAAGATAAATAAAGCCCTTATAGAAAAGGAAAGGAGTAAGTAAGATATATAAAAGGCTAGAATATAGCTATCTTCTTAGAACCCTAAGAAGATATAATTATTAAAGTTAAAGTATTTAATAACCTATATAAAAAAGATTAAAGCTTACTATAGCTTTTTATAGTACTAGTAAATATACTTTAAGTAAATAAAATAGCTTAACTATAATTATATTACTATTATAATAATCTTCTATTAGTATTAAAAGATAGTTAAGTAATAAGGAATTATTTACTTTAATAGCTTTAGAAAGCTATTAAGTAAAATAAATTTAAATAAGTAGAAAAGAAGGGAACCTTTAAGATTATAACTAAGACTAATAATATAAAGATATTACCTCTTTACTAGGTTTATATATATAAATTTAATTAATAAGGTTATTTATTATAATATAAAGTATAAATTATTATAAAAGGCAATTTATAAGTAATTAAGGAATATAATATAATATATATAGCTATACTTATTATAAAAGCCTTCTAAGTAATAATAGCTATAGCTATTTACTTTAACTTTAAAGTATACTAATTTAATATAAAGAATACTTTTTTTAATATAACTAGATTTAATAATATCTTAAAAGTCTATATATAATTACCTAATAAATAGATAGCCCTTCTTAAGAAAGCCTTATATAGCCTAAAAGACTTACCTTATCTATAGCTTAAGGAATTTACTAATACCTTTATAAAGTATAACCTATTATAATATAAGGAAGAGCCCTATCTATACTATTCTAAAGATAGGAAGATATTCTTAGTATTTTTTATTAATAATATCCTTCTTTTTTATAGTAAAAAGTATAAAAAGTAAGCTCTATCCCTTATAATAAAAATAAAATAAATATATAATATATATAATAAAGGAGATTTTAAGTAGTTCTTTAATATCTATATTATATATAATAGAAGATAAAAGCTATTATTCTTTAGCTATAAATAATATATTAAGAAGATAGCTAAGAAATATAAACTTACTTATAATTAACCTAAAAAGTAGTATATACTACTACTATCTAGAAAGCTTACCTAATATACTAGTATAGTAAGTAAAATAGATATTTACTACTTTTAAGAGTTAATAAGGTTAATATTATATATATTAATTATAGTCTAGTTAAATATTATATATATAGTATCCTTTTTTATTTACTTCTTTATAAATCTATTAAGAGATTATATTCTAACTATAAAGTATTATATATATTATCTATATACTATAAAGACTTTAGTCTTTACTTATAGTCTAAATAAAGAAGTAGTTATTTTATAAATTACTAGTAATATATTATATACTAATAACCTTATTACTAGGAAGTTATCTTAAGGTTAAATAATCTTCTTATATAGTAGTCTTATATTTTAAAAAGCTATAAAATAAGATACTATTATACTATTTATAATAAAGGCTAAATTATTAAGTATATCTAGCTTAGTAAAAAAGGCTTCTATAATATACTATCTTCTTATAATAATAAGAAAATAGGTAGCTTTTTTATATAAGATAATATATAATAATACTTAAATAATATATATTATTATTAATAATAAAGAGTATATATTAACTAAACTATAATATATTAATATTAATAATATATAGTTAAAATAAGAATATAGATATAGGTATTTTATACTTACCTTTATTTTAAATAAAGTAATACCTATAGATAGTCTTATTAAAGCTCTTCCTTATTAAGCCTTTTTAGAGTTTAAATATCTTATTAATCTAAAAAAGCTTTTAAATATAGTTAAAAAAAGTAATATAATTATTCTAATATAGAATATAAAGTATAATATAAATAAGAAGGTATTATTTAATCTTTAACCCTTTAGAAAACCTAAGGATAAATAATATTCTATTTAATTATTATAATATATATACTAATTTTTAATAGCTTTATTATATAACTTTATTAATAAATACTTTAAGGTAATATAAAGCCTAGGTCTTTTACTTAAAAAGAGCTTCTTTACCTAATATTATATTAATAGTAATAGTATTAAATATACTATCCTCCTTCTTTAATATTTTAAAAATAATATATAATACTATATAATATAAAACCTTATCTTAAAAGAAAGAGTAGAGTATTAATAAGTACTACTAAAGGGTAATAAAAATAAGTAATAAATAACTTATAGACTTAAAACTATCTTTATATACTATTATTAAATACTAAATAAAAGGGATTACTATAGCTAGATATAGCTTATACTTATAATTATAATAAGTATAACCTTTATACTTTTATAAGTATACTATCTTCTTAACTAGTATAAAGTTATAATATATATTATTCTCTTTATTAAAGAGTATAGATTAAATATATTTTAGGTAAGGGTTTATTTAATAAAGTTTAAAATTAGCCTTTACTAGCTACTTTACTAAGGTTTAAGGCTAAGAGAGTATTAATTAGTTTTAGTTAACTTAAGTAAAAAAGTAAATACTTATAATATATATTAATAAAGGTATTAACTATAATTAAGTTATATAACTTATAAGAGTTATCTTAATAGAAGTAGTAAAAGTACTATAGTAAAGATAGTATAATATAATAAGTATCTTCTTTTCCTTCTCCTTTTCTTTATCTTTATTCTTAACCTTAACCTCTTCTTTAGTTAATATAATTATATTAATACCTTTATTATTATTATTATTATTATTATTAATATCTTTATTATTAATCTTCTTAATAAGGGTAAGTATATATACTACTAATAATAAGACTAAGCTTATAAGGGTTTAAAGTTTTAGCTTATTAATTAAAGTAATTATAGCTATACTAATTTAGTAATAGCTATATTAAAAGGGATATATAATACTATTATAAGCCTATACTTTTTTATATAAGTTAATATATAACTTATATACCTTTATAAAGGGCTTTTTTTACTTAGTAGGGAGTATAGGGGCTTTTAAGGAGGGCTTCTTAATATTTACCTCTTTAGAGGACTTTTCTTAGGTATTTAAGGATATAATTACCTCCTTAAAGGACTTTTTATTAGTAATAGTAAAAGTAGAAGCCTTAATAGTAATAAAGAAGGGGGAGTTAATAGCTATAAAGCTAATATATAAAGAAACTATTATTAAAAATTTAATATAACTAATAATAATAAAAGAAAGAGAATAAAAAGGTAATAAAGAATTATTATTACTTTTAATAAATAAAAAAGTAAGTAGTTAAAAAGAAGTAAATAGATAATAAAGAATATAAGAATAATATATAGTAAAAAATAGCTTTTTATATTTAAAAATACTAGCTAGCTTATTAATTAAAATAAAAAATACTTTAAATTACTTATTAAAAAGAATAGTAATTCTATTATCTATCTATTCTTATATTAAATTACTATTTATATTATAAAATATATATTTAAATAGTATATTAATATACTCTTTATAAAAAATAAAAAAAAATATAAATATACTATTTTATTCCCTTTATAAAATACCTTTTTATATAAATAACTACTTTTTATTATACTTTTTATATATAATTATTTTCTTTATTTTATATTAACTTATATTTAATAATTAAAAGGTATATTATATAGAATACTATCTTAATAAAAGAGCTTATCTTATTTATACTAATAATAAGTATAAATAAATAATAACCTTAAATATCTTAAGATATAGTATTATCTTATAACTTAAATTATATAGCTTAAGGCTAAGAAATAGGATATATAAATTAACTAGTTATCCTTTATAGCTTTATTTAATATAAGGCTAATTTTCCTTATTATCTTTACTTTCTATTATTCCTTTATAAGCTATATTAGCTGCGTTGCTATCTTATATAACTATATTGATACTCCATACGAACGAGGCTTGTCTTTCCCTACGTGGGTTTTCTTTTTTTTTTATATGAATAATTGGCTTCATATCTTCTTTCCAAGGCAGCAAAGCTAGGATTTCTCTCGTCTTGTTTCAGTTTCAGAATCAACGTGGTCTCGTAGCAACAAATGGACAAGTGCTACGAGGCAAAACAGAGTGGAATTGGGTGTAAAATCGCAATGGGAATGGATCTTTGTCCGCAAGTTACATCTAGCTTGTTGCAGATAAATCTCGGGGCAGCGGAGTCGTCCCCATTCTGAGTTGGAGAAGCGAGACCAAGCCCAATACAGGCTTGGCAGGCAATACCTTGGGGTACATACATCTGATATGAGCTACGACGAGACTTGCTCTTGGCCAAGCGACCTCCAGTGTGATGTATCAATTTTTGACAACGCTAGCTCAGTACTACGAAATTACAATTCTTAAAAATAAAATCATAATCAAAATCAAATCATCGCTTGCCGGCACCAGACGCCATAACCAAAATCCACCATTCTGGCGATGCAAATGCCCCATCCAGCATCAGCCTTTTCAATTTACTCAAACAAGTTAACCTCGCTCGCGCCTTTTCGTTAAATTCATTACCATACATCCTTACGGTGCTGGCACGATATTGTGACCAGCGCCGAGCTCAAAGGGTCCAGCACCGTGCTGTTGCTGGTGGTGGTGTTGGTTCAGATGCTGCTGCTGCTGCTGGTTCAGATGTTGCAGGTCATGCAAATGTTCCAGCTGCTGCAGATACAACTCGTATTGATGGTGCTGCCGCTGGTGCTCCGGTGCCGTGATGCCCACGATTTCCGGCCAGTCATCCTGTTCGGGTGCCGGCACCCTGCGCCTGGTGAACCACCACTTGGCTGGATATTCATGCTCGACCGACTGCGGCTCGACAAAGAAAATAAACAGCTCTATGGTGCGGATCCAGGTGCGACGGGCCGGCGACATGTCCGGCTTCTTGTGGCGCCACAGCTTGTACTCGCACAGGAGAATGGCGTTGCCGATAATATTGATGCCGCGACAGATGAGATTGAACAGGATAAAGACGACCATGGCCATCTCGTACGAGTTCATGGCGCGGTACGGTGTCCGCTGGCTGTTGATACGATAGAGCTTCAGGAGTGGCGGGAACCACGAGGCAAAAATGAGGGCTTCCAAAACCAAGGCAAAATGGTACGTGCGCATCAAGGTACCGCGAATGGCACAGAGACAATAGTTCCACACAGTCACAACGAACCCGGCCTACTCGCAGGGTTAGTACAAGAAGATAACAACAGTCGAGCGGCAAAAAAGAGGACTGACCGAAACTACACCTGCCACCCACATAGCGCGTGATGGAAAGTAGCGCCAGCACATGCCCGAGGCGATCAAGACGACAAGCCACTGGGCCACCCCCGTAAGATAATACAAGAAGACGACCTGCGTGTAGCGCTTAAAACACCGCTTATGGAATTCCGGCTGGTTCCACGCCGGGTGCGCGGCGATGGGGTATCCGCACCAGCGGCAGACAAATGCGGCCGAATGGTTGCCCAGGAGGTACTTTTTCCCAACATCGAAGCCCTTTTGGTCCCAGACGCAGTTGATGCATCGGCTGGACAGCGGCCAGCGGGCGTCAGACTTGTCGGTGCAGAGGAGCGTCGTGCCGCTGTGATCCCGCGACTGCGTGAGGCAGATGCGGCAGGTCAAGTGCATGTGGTGGTTAAAGTTCGGATGCAGCAGCGAGCGGACGACTTGGGGCGTGATGCTGGCGCGGAAGACGTGGCAGGTCCGGCGCAGACGTTCCAAGTCACCAAAGTCGAGGTAGGAGAGCACCGTGAACTGCAGCTCGGGTGGGAGGGCGAAGAAGCGATCGAGGAGCGTACTCTCCTGGCCGTGCTGCGCGCCGCGGGCGGTGCGGGACCGGGATGCTGGGCTGCGACCGCGACTGCGGCTGAGGCCGGCCACGTTGACGAGGGCGCTGAGTTTTGTGAGTCTGTCGAGCTTGCGCGGCTTGATGCTGATTTCGTCGCCGTTAGTTGTGAAATGCGTCGCTGCGGGCGCGCGCGGGAGCTGTTCGAGTTCCGTTGCCGAGGCCTCGCCGGGGTTGTGCTGCAGCTGCGGTTGCGGCGCATCATCGCGGTCTTGGGGTGCGCTATTGGAGCGACGGCTGGTGACGGCTGTGTATAGCTTATACAAATCCATCCTGAATGGCCAACTGCATGTAAGATTCCTCTTGTCGGCTTTTTCCCCCAACACATCAACGCATGTCCAGAGAAAGTCTGGCCAGTGGCGGCGGGGTTGTGTAGGTGTCTGTTTTGTCTGTTGCCTGCCTGGCAGGTTGGACAAGGCGAGAACAGGCAGCCAGCTCGAGCGACGTCAATCACACAAAGCCGTGTTAGAACTGACAGGAATCGATCCTTGTTCGACCAGGTCTATATTTATGCCTTCTGCGCCCGCACGTCGAACCCTGCGCACCAAGATGTGTTGCGTCAGAAACGCGATGTGGTTGCACAAGACGCAGCCCCCTCAGCCGCCCGAGCTGGAACCAAAACGTCCAAGCCCGCCCCTTCCAGCCCTTCCTTTGCCACCCGAGATGGTGCCACGCGACGGGACACAGCTGTGTCGCTAGGTAATAAGGTAGGGAAGTGGCCACTCGTTAGTGTCGTGGATAACGATATCCAGCTCCGTTTTTGATTTTGGCGGTCGCCGTGCGACGATTTTAGATGACGCGATGGCCAGCAAAAAAAGAGGGGGATGGTGGTCTTTCAAACGAGGGAGCAAGAGCTGGATCCAGGTGACATGTGTTCCGTGTTTGCCCAGGCATCAAGTCGATGCGAAGAGGCCCGAGATTCGGCCCTGTTGCAGGTTGCAGATGCAGGTATCCGTTTTGATCAAGTTACTGATGCACTGATAGGTGCGTTGCACGGCGCGAAGCTGAGGTGGTGAAGAAAAATGGCACCAAGGGAAGCCACGGACCGGCGCAAACGGAACTACCTATTATTGGACTGCCGCCTAAATGGACTGCCGCCTTCTGGAAGCCCGGGCCATAAAAACGCGAAAAAAATTCAAAAATACCGGCTTGACAAATCCGAGATTTCTCTCTTCATAGATGAAATAGATGTGATGCTTACATGCTCCGTGAAAGCGCGTGCCTTGCTAAGTACTAGTTACACTAATTACAGTGTGAGCCCCTAACTAGCCTCCATCACAAACAATACACGACAATACATGAAAAACACGACCGTAAAATAGCACGAGTCTTAATATATGATCTAGCGTCGATATTTGCATCTCTTATGCACTACATCGCCGCGACTTCCCCGCCCCCGGCACCGGACCGTCTTTCTGCCCCATCTCCCTCTATCCAGACTCTCGATCCGTCAAACCTTGTCACAACGCGTCAATCTCTTTAGCTTGTTAAATTCTCACATTTTGTTTTCGCAGCCTCTATCCTTGTACATATTCTCTCATCTATAAACCCATATCTCATCGCCTTTTGTGGCTGATCCATTCATGACGTCGTGCAGGCAGGGCTCCCGGTATCGTGAAATCATGGACACGCGAAAAAAAACAAAGCAAAAAATACAATAACAAATCGCCATTAAACATACCGGTTTATTTCTCTGGCAGTATTGTTCTTTTCGGTCGGGGTGGGTTTCTCGGGTTTATCGGTCAATGACGGTTCATCCAGTCATGACGGTGTCGGCACCGCGGTGCACCAGCTCCATTGTCGGCGCGTCGCCTCTCGTCTCCTTCGTGACAGCCTCGAGCTCGTTGAGCATGCACGCCGCCGCAATGACCCTAAAACTCTGTATCCGCTCCCCGCCCACGCTCCTCCGTCCCCTCGTCCGTCTCTCCCCGTCTCCACCTGCAGCCGGCGCCGGCGCCGTCGCCGCCAGCGTCGCGTCCCTCTCCAGCTCAATCTGGAAGCACGCGACCGCCATCTCCAGCGACTGCAGCCTCGCCGGGCTGACCAGCGCCGCGTCCCCGTTCCCGCCGGGGCCCCCAAACCTGGCCTCCGGGTTCCGGATCAGCTTGACGATCCAGCTCATCAGCCGGTCCATCTCCTCCTTCATCCGCATCGACAGGTCGCGCTGGCGCCGCGACTGCGCACCCGTCTTGTTCAGGATGTCGCCGCAAAACGCCTCCGTCTCGGTGACGGCCATGCGCGGGTTGTACGAAAACTGCTGCATCAGCTCCCGCAGACCCCGCTCGTAGATGCGCCGCACCTTGCGCGCCTCCTCCACCCGGCCCCGCCAGTCCAGCTGCCGCGCAATGCCCAGCCCCGCGAGCCCGCCGTCCATGATGCGCTGCACCCGCTCCCAGACCGACGGCGTGCCCGCCGCTGCTGCTGTTGCTGCGCCAGCGCCGGCGTTATTCCGCCTGCTGCCCGCCCCCGTCACCCGCGCCCACAGGCTCTTCTCGTCGACGGCGCGGTACAGCTCGCCGAGAATCTTTTCCGACTTGTGGTAGCGGTGCCGCGGCCGGCCGAAGCCATCATCCCCCTCGTCCTCGTCCTCGTCCACTTCCACAAACGCAATCTCGCCTAGGCTGTACGTCGTCGTCGGCGGCGCCGGCGCCATAAAGTCCGGCCGCGTCTTGGGCTGCCGCGGCATCTCGCTCACGACCGGCGGGATGCCCGTCTTGGAGTAGTCGACGGCCGTCGAGTGCAGCTCGGCCAGCTTAATACACGTTGGGTCGCTCGTCCCCGCCGGCTGGATATCGGCGTACAAGAGGTGCCGGTTCGCAATCAGCCCAAGCACGTCGGTGCGCATAAACTCGATAAAAAAGTTGGCAATATCGTCGCGCGTCACGTCGCGGTCCAGCGGCTGCGGCTTGTTACGCGGGTAGCTGGCGGGCGAGAAGACGGTCGTCGGCAGCGCATCGCTGTCCCAGATGATGTTGTACTTGTCGCCGTCGAGGTCTCCGCCGCTCAGCTGGCTCGGCAGGTCGCGCTCGCCGCGCTGGCTGAAGACGACGCAGTTGCGCAGCGCGCGCAGCGGGTGCTTCTCGGGTGGCGTGACCATCTTGGCGAGCTGGATGTCGCCCGGGTGCAGCGCCGGCGAGCGCGTGACGATGATGTGCCCGTCGCGCAGCGAGCCCTCGATGCCGTCCTGGCGGCCCGGCGCCCGGTGGTCGTAGTGGACGTAGACCTCGCCCTCCTTCAGGTACCCCGTCTCGTCCATGACGCCAAACAGCGTCACGCCCTTGTCCACCGGGATGCGCGCCTTGTGCTTGAGGAGCCGCAGCTCGCGCAGCACCACGTACTCGACCAGCGCCTTGAGGAACGGGTCCCCGCGGTAGTCGACGCCGTGCGCGTCCAGCCGCCGCAAGAACCGCGGCAGCCGGATCGCCGCCCCGACGCCCTGGTACTCGAGAAACGTGCACGTGTTGCCCACGCTTGCCGTCACCCCGCGCAGCGTCTCGAGCGCCTTGGCCTGCACCTCCCGGAACCAGGCCGGCTCCGTGCCCATGTCCTCGAGGATCTTGATCATCTGCCGGTTGAGCACCAGCCGCAGCGGCCGGGCCGCGACCTCGCAGATGCCAATCTCGACAAAGTCGCGGCTCGGAAACTTCATCATGGACTCGGCGCGGATGCAAATCTGCTTGCCCAGCAGGCGCGGGTCCAGCGACAGCATGCCCTTGATGCCCGCCACGCGGATCTGCACGCACGTCGGCGCGCCGAGGTTGAGCGGCAGCACGTCCCAGACCTCTTCCAGCGCGCCCTGGGAAATGGTGCCGACGCCGTCGCTAAAGACGCGCGCGTCGGCCAGCGGCCCCCCGCCGCGCACATCTTCTATGTAGCTAATGACAATGTTCCCACCCCGTAGGGACACAGCGTAGGGCGTCTCGGAAAAGGCCTGGCCGATGCGCGCGGCGCACTTGGCCGGGATGCGGATCTCGCGGAAATCGCCGAGCTGGCTGAGCACCGTGGCGTAGTCTTGGCGGCCCATGCGATTGTCGACAAACGGGGCCATGAACCAGGCCGAGTGCGAGCGCAGGCTCGAGTGCGAGAACCCGAGGAAGGAGAATCGCCGGCCGGCGACCTCGATCCCTTGCTTCATGACGCTGCGGTAGTGGTCGTAGACGTAGTCGTTGGACACGCGCGGGTTAAAGCTCAGGTCGGAGCCGTCCTCGTCGGTAAAGGTGACGCGCAGGAAGTAGTCGGTGCGGTCGTGGAACATGCGCAGCACCCGGTTCTTGGACTCGGCGTCGGGGCCGGCGAGTAGGACGCGCGCCGGCGTCACCATGGCCTTGAGCACCCACGCCTGCTGCTTGCTGAGGACCTCGTCGCGGCCGGCGCGCGCCGCCGCCACCGTCGGGTCGCCGTTCTCGCCGGCGGCCGCCCCCGTCAGCTCCATTTCAATATCCATGACGCGGTTGATCAGCTCAAACGGGTCGATCTCGTTGGGCTTGACGCCGGGCGTCGGGTACGGGATGTCATTAAACAGACGCTTAAACGCCTCGACGGAGAACGGCCGCGGCTGGCCCTCCATCTCGGCCTCCATGGCCAGGCGCTCCATAATCTCCAGCATGGTCGTCGCCGCCCGGGGGTGCAGAAAGTTGTTCCACACCATCTTCTGCACCTGGAAGAGCAGCGAAAACGGGAGCAGCAGCGGGTTGTTCCCGAGGATGCTGATGCGGCGCTGGAAGTCGGCCATGCTGGTCGTGTAGTCGTCGGCGTGGTGTCGCGGGGCCTGGTCCACGCGCAGCGCGTGCCGGCTGGCCGAGACGTCGTGGTGCGCCTTGACGGCCTCAAACACCCGGCCGGCCTCGTCGCCGTCGGCCAGCCGGAAGCGGTACACGAGGCAGTGCGCGACGAACTTGCTCAGCTCTGGCCAGCCGCTCAGCACGGGCATGCGGCACCACTGCGCGCGCGTCTCCGGGTCGACGGCCGTGTTACGGGCATAAAAGCGCGGCGTCTCCCCCAGGACCATAGTGAAGGCACCCTCGGCTACGTCAAAGACGCAGTCCTCGACGGTCGCGTACGGCACGTGCATCTGGTTCCCCGTGACCGTGGTCAGGATGCACGACTTGCGCTTGAACTGGGCGTGCCCGGCCGTCGTGCACTCAGTCTGGCGGGCAAACACGAGCGCCTTGCCGCCGGCAGCGCCTGCGGCCAGCGAGTCCTGAAAGACCATTTTGCCGCAGGCAATGGTGCTGATGCGGCAGGTCGTGGTCGGGGCGGGCGCGGGGCGGGCGGGCTGCTTGCCCG